ATCTAAACTCTGCTTTTTCCAGGTACGCCATACAACTAAACATAATATTATATTATAACTAAAGAAGCAATTCCATTGGCCGATTCCTTTTTGGGATGGGCCCTGCATCCTACTCCTATTCAGAATGTAGTGACATTGGTAACGCGATATAACCTATCGCTGTAGTAATTCAATGTACAAGTCATTGCTTTTATCCAAAACATGTCCGGTACCAAATACGCGACCCTCGAGAGTGGTAAGGTTGGTTGGCCCATCTAAGTTTTGATCCCCTGACCGCGCACATGATAAGTACCGCCACTTGCCACTGCAACATTTCCGCCATTGATAGTAGACAGGAGAACAAAAAAATCACGAGAGCAACAGCCTAATCCATCTCATGCAAATTTTGAGCACATGCGTCCTTCAAGTTGTGCTGCTATAAAGCTGCTTCTGCTTACAAGTGATGCTAACCTAATTCAAATCTCCGTTGAGGTCTAGGCCTAACTGCTCCTCTTTGAACGCGCCAAAGGCGCGCCTCGGGATTGAAAATGGAAGAGGTGAGGGAATATGGAATCACCAGTTCCCAAATATGCGTCCTACGGCACTATTTACCCTTTACTGCCCCACTCCTCAAGAACTGAGCCGGATTTTGATCGAAATTCGTCCATGACTGTGGATTTGGCTAGAAACTTGCCTTCAGGGGTAATTCGACCCGTAGAACACGAATATCACACCGGTTTAGCGCGAAAACGCTTGGCGCCCGCGCCACAGGCGCCGGCGCTATCACAACAGTTTTGCGCGGGCGCTCGTAGCGCAGGCTACAGGCTCACTCGCAACGAACTAATGTGATATTCATGTTCTACGGGTCAAAATACCTCTGAGGACAAGTTTCCAGCGAATTTGGTGATCCGAGATGTTCTGGCGCCTTTTGGCGCCGGCGCTTCTGGCGCGAGCGCCAGGCGTTCTAGCGGTAAACGAATGTGATATTCGTGTTCTACGGGTCGAATTACCCCTGAAGGCAAGTTTCTAGCCAAATCCACAGTCATGGACAAATTTCGATAAAAACCCTCAGTTCTCGAAGAGTGGGGCAGTAAGGGTAATTAATGCCCTTTTGATTTTTTGTTGATATTTTCGACGGTTATGATGTGTTCTGGAAGCGCGCAATCTGCTGTACATTTCGGTCGGTGTACATTAACTGTGTATCTGCTTCACTATGGAGCTTACATGCGAGCAAAAAATTGCCCTCTGCTACATGAGTGCAAGTTGAGCTCGAAACCGAATGCTTCTGCATCTGCTCGTAGAATCAATGAAGCCTGGGATGAAGGCACGGCTTGCAGAGAGAGACTGTTCGAGAATGTCTGTTGATTAATCGTCTGCTTGTTTTTTTTGGTTCTGTTAAGAAACCTACAAGTGAAATGAAAAGGGCAGATAATTTCCGCTCAACCTAAGATTTGCTGTTTCTTCAATTTCTTGTGAACAATTCACAGAGAGTGAGGGCTCTTCTTGAAGATGCCCTTGCCTTTCCCAAACATCTTGTTGGGGTTCAACAAATTAAACCAGCTGCAGACTGAACCGACAAATGACGCAATGCTGTTGGAATGTCAGATGCTTGCTGTGTAAAATGTTTTTCTTAGAACATCAACTGAACTGCACTGTTCGATACGTTATCCTTGTACACTCCAACATAAAGCACGACTCATCAGTGAACAATCATTTATTCTACAAATGAACAGAATATTCATCGTTTCCAGTGGAGCCGGGTAACGGTACATTCATCCGTTGACATAGTTTGGCTCCTACTCCGTGAGAGTGGAACTGACAAGTCTCCATTCAAACTATTCTGAAAGTTCATTATTTACAATCGAATTCCTAATCAATCTTCACTTCCATTGGCCTAAACTTTCCGTATTTCGGAGCCATAATCTTTCAACTGAGGCACACCATTATTTCCCTTCTTTAATTTATTTACACCCTGTCGTTATCTCCAATTTACATTCTGAAGTTGAAGGATAGCTCCAGGCTTGGTCTCTCTGAAGTAGTCGCTACACTGGATAGAGGTGTGTGGTCCGAGAGGTACTGCATAGGTCGTGCCACCTTCACTCATCGAAACACGTCAGACGCTAGGAGCTAAGGACTTTTTTCACTTTTTTCTCTACTTGCC